TCTTTGTCCTGTACATATCTGTGTCCTGTACGCTTCTGTGTCCTGTACGTAGCTGTGTATTGTACGTAGCTGTGTATTGTACGTAACTGTGTATTGTACGTAACTGTGTATTGTACGTAGCTGTGTCCTGCATGTAGCTGTGTATTGTACGTAGCTGTGTATTGTACGTAACTGTGTATTGTACGTAACTGTGTATTGTACGTAACTGTGTATTGTACGTAACTGTGTCCTGTACGCTTCTGTGTCCTGCATGTAGCTGTGTATTGTACATAACTGTGTATTGTACGTAACTGTGTATTGTACGTAACTGTGTATTGTACATAACTGTGTATTGTACATAACTGTGTATTGTACGTAGCTGTGTCCTGCATGTAGCTGTGTATTGTACATAGCTGTGTATTGTACGTAACTGTGTATTGTACGTAACTGTGTATTGTACATATCTGTGTCCTGTACGCTTCTGTGTCCTGCATGTAGCTGTGTATTGTACATAACTGTGTATTGTACGTAACTGTGTATTGTACGTAACTGTGTATTGTACGTAACTGTGTATTGTACATAACTGTGTATTGTACGTAACTGTGTATTGTACGTAACTGTGTATTGTACATAGCTGTGTATTGTACATATCTGTGTATTGTACATAGCTGTGTATTGTACGTAACTGTGTATTGTACGTAGCTGTGTCCTGCATGTAGCTGTGTATTGTACATAGCTGTGTATTGTACGTAACTGTGTATTGTACGTAACTGTGTCCTGCACGTATCTGTGTCCTGTACGTAGCTGTGTACATGGTGTATTGTACGTAACTGTGTATTGTACGTATGTGTCCTGTATGCTTCTGTGTCCTGTACGTAGCTGTGTATTGTACGTATCTGTGTCCTGTATGCTGCTGTGTCCTGTACGTAGCTGTGTATTGTACGTAATTGTGTCCTGTACGTAGCTGTGTATTGTACGTATCTGTGTCCTGTACGTAGCTGTGTATTGTACGTATCTGTGTCCTGTATGCTTCTATGTCCTGTACGTAGCTGTGTATTGTACATAGCTGTGTATTGTACGTATCTGTGTCCTGTATGCTTCTGTGTCCTGTACGTAGCTGTGTCCTGTAGGTAGCTGTGTATTGTACGTAACTGTGTATTGTACGTTTCTGTGTCCTGTACGCTTCTGTTTTCTGCATGTATCTGTGTCCTGTACGTATCTGTGTCCTGTATGCTTCTGTGTCCTGTACGTAGCTGTGTATTGTACGTATCTGTGTCCTGTACGTATCTGTGTCCTGCACGTATCTGTGTCCTGTATGCTTCTGTGTCCTGCACGTAACTGTGTCCTGCACGTAGCTGTTTATTGTACGTAGCTGTGTCCTGTACGTAGCTGTGTCCTGTACATATCTGTGTCCTGCAAGTATCTGTGTCCTGCACGTAGCTGTGTCCTGCACGTATCTGTGTCCTGTATGCTTCTGTGTCCTGCACGTATCTGTGTCCTGTACGTAGCTGTGTATTGTACGTAGCTGTGTCCAGCACGTATCTGTGTCCTGTACGTAGCTGTGTCCTGCACGTATCTGTGTCCTGTACATAGCTGTGTATCGTACGTAGCTGTGTCCTGCACGTATCTGTGTCCTGTACATAGCTGTGTATCGTACGTAGCTGTGTCCTGCAAGTATCTGTGTCCTGCACGTAGCTGTTTCTTGTACATAGCTGTGTATTGTACATAGCTGTGTATTGTACATATCTGTGTCCTGTATGCTTCTGTGTCCTGCACGTAGCTGTGTTCTGCACGTAGCTGTGTCCGCATCTCTCTATTGTACGTATCTCTCTATTGTACATATCTCTCTATTGTACGCATCTGTTTATTGTATGTATCTCTATTGTACGCATCTCTCTATTGTACATATCTCTCTATTGTACGTATCTCTCTATTGTACGTTTCTGTCTATTGTACATATCTCTCTATTGTATGCATCTCTCTATTGTACGTATCTCTCTATTGTACATATCTGTTTCCTGTACGTATGTCTCTATTGTACATATCTCTCTATTGTACATATTTCTCTGTTGTACATATCTCTCTATTGTACGTATCTCTCTATTGTCATATCTCTATTGTACATATCTCTATTGTACGTATCTCTCTATTGTACGTATCTGTCTATTGTACGTATCTCTCTATTGTACGTATCTGTCTATTGTACGTATTTCTTTGTTGTATGTATCTCTCTATTGTACGTATCTGTCTATTGTACGTATCTCTATTGTACGTATCTCTCTATTGTACATATCTCTCTATTGTACGCATCTCTCTATTGTACGTATCTCTATTGTACGTATCTCTATTGTACGTATCTCTCTATTGTACGTATCTCTCTTTTGTACGCATCTCTCTATTGTACGTATGTGTGATGTGTCTATTATGTTAATACCTGTTTATTGATCTCGACACGTGGGGAAGCTACTAAGTACTGTATGCATGTATCGACATGGTGGAGCAGTAGGAGACAGTAAAGGCTGGCTACCCTCCTAGGACCACGGCGGCCAATTCATGATTCATTTGATACCTTCAGCAGCCAGGCAAATATTAGTGTTACAGTTGTACTTATATCCTACTTATCCCTTTCAATCGTATTTGTAAGCCATAGGTATTTTCTGCTTGACTAGTGGTGCATGATGGGTCAGGAATATTCTGGTGGAGCAGACGGTCAGTTGATGTTAAGAACCAGTTGGGTCCAGGTAGTTGGCGTTGTGACCAGTTGGGTCCAGTTAAGAGGTGTTTTGACGACTTGGGTCCAGGTAGTTGGTGTTAAGAACCAGTTGGGTCCAGGTAGTTGGCGTTGTGACCAGTTGGGTCCAGGTAGTTGGTGTTATGACCAGTTGGGTCCAGGTAATAGGTGTTGTGACCAGTTGGGTCCAGGTAGTTTGTGTTGAGACCAGTTTGGTCCAGGTAGTTGGTGTTGTGACCAGTTGGGTCCAGGTAGTTGGTGTTAAGAACCAGTTGGGTCCAGGTAGTTGGCGTTGTGACCAGTTGGGTCCAGTTAGGAGGTGTTTTGACGACTTGGGTCCAGGTAGTTGGTGTTAAGAACCAGTTGGGTCCAGGTAGTTGGCGTTGTGACCAGTTGGGTCCAGGTAGTTGGTGTTGAGACCAGTTGGGTCCAGGTAGTTGGTGTTGTGACCAGTCGGGTCCAGGTAGTTGGTGTTGAGACCAGTTGGGTCCAGGTAGTTGGTGTTGTGACCAGTTGGGTCCAGGTAGTTGGTGTTGTGACCAGTTGGGTCCAGGTAGTGGGTGTTGAGACCAGTTGGGTCCAGGTAGTTGGTGTTGTGACGAGTTCAAGGCAAGGGAGTTAACTGTCTATAAAAGTCCAGTTTTCACCCTTGCCAAACTTGGCTGGTATTTCTGGGCTTGTTCCTAACGCCACCAGTGGCTATTACAAGTTATATCCCTCTATGTCCCTCCTATTGACCTATCAGATTCCACCTCATATCACTTGCATTTGCTTCAAACAAAATGGTGATGCCCAGTTGCGACGACCTGATCGATAATCAAAACCTATATTGTGACAAAACAGGTCTTACTTAGCGATGTGCATCAAATCACGTAAGCACCTTGATTAAAAACATGAAAAGATTTGGAAAATATCTATTCATGCCAAGTTGGCAACATATGCTTTGCAAATCCTGCAATCGGGCCAAATCTGCACTGCATTTTACGAACCGGATGTCGATTTTTTAGAAAAAGGACACAGCCCAGCCAAATATAGTACCAGCCTAGTTCAGCAAGGGTGGGAACTAAACTTTTATAGTTATAGTCAGTGAACGCCCTTGCTTCGGGAAGATGTGACCAGTTGGGTGCAGGTGGTTGGTCAGGAATAGGATATTGTCAAACTAATAGCAATACAATAATTTCTGATGAATTACATCAGATTTTATTTATTTGTAACACTAACTTTTTGATTAAACTCATGTTGCTCTTAGGAATCGTGGCTGTTTCTCATTGTCTTATCTTGATGCATGGCTGTGCTGGACAGAAGAGATGCAGCTTGGAGACTCCCTGGCTTGTCAGTCTTGTTGTCATCCTTCAAACACTGCTTGTCCAGGTGTATGGACCGGTCAGTTGGTGATGGGCAGGTGGTCAGTATAGGATTGGGGTCTGACTGCCTCACATCAGCCCGGAGAGTGTTCTCACTAAGGTCAAGATCGGCCGAAAAGACCTTTTGTTGGACAAGATGATGGCAAATATTTGCTGTGTGCCACTTTTGTCAAGTCTGAGTAGGTCATTAGCCTCTTTTTGGGAAAATGGGGGAAAACAGGATGGTGTGGGGCTTTGTAGTCACAGACACACAGGTGATGCCTTTCAGCTGGCGTAGTGGATGTTGGACATACACAAGGTGGTGCGAACTTAATTATCCTGTTGACAGCGAACAGGGGTATTCATTGACTAACACCTTTCCTATATCATGTATGCCCTGACCCAGTTTTACGGTCAATTGATTTCATAAAATCTGAAATTGCCCATGAGTTGCAAACTTGATTATACATGGTGAAGCAATAATCACTCACTCAGTCACTCAATACTAAGCCACCATTGTAACAACAGCAGGTGCTTGCATGCTCTCTTGTCCTGGTCATTTATTGCAGGACAATATAATTGTCAAAATATTTCTGTTTACTTTACTTTCCAATACACTTCACTGCATTCTATCTCTGGTTTCAGCAGACAATTTGCTCATCATGTGGAATCACACCTTCTTGGATTAATAGTATCAAATTTCACATTTGCAAATATGACAGGACATGTAGTGATGGATAAATATTGTGAATATTTCACCTCACTTGTCCTGCAGGGTTAGACAAAACACTATTGTGTGGTGAGGGACGCTTCACGGACCACTGACAGCTTGCCCCCCAGATTCAGTGGCCCTGGGCTAAATGGAGCAGTGTTTACATTTTGAGGCCAGCTACATGACTGTGTAGAATGTAGCAAGTCCGATACAACAAGTGTTGTCTTTACTTCAGGGTAGCAGCATGATGGCCGACAAGACCTGAGCGAACCCATCAGGAGGCTACACGGAGCAGCATTCATAGTGTCGGGATACCTCTACTGAGGAGAGAAGGGAGTCGTCTGCTCTAGTATGAAATGTCGTCTGCTGCCATGTCGTCTGCCCCAGACTCTCCCCGTGGAGGAATGGAGAGATCGAGCTACATCAAGGTGAGTGTGCTTACATTGCAAGACTTGCCACCAACAATTAGCAGTTTTCTTTAGGGATAGTTTTTTATACATCAATACATAATTTATGATGTGAAATTTGTTCCAGCGTTGAATATACTTATCAGTTTGAGCTAAGATAGGTCCCATGCTCTTTGTGGTTGTATTTTGTGGAAAATAATTAAGTGCTTTGTGATACGCAACCGTTGCCACATATATAGGTGGGAACAGGTGTTTAGTAGCACTGACACCTGCACCACATCTACAAGTGAGAACAGGTGTTTAGTAGCACTGACATCTGCACCACATCTACAGGTGAGAACAGGTGTTTAGTAGCACTGACACCTGCACCACATCTACAGGTGACAACAGGTGTTTAGTAGCACTCACACCTGCACCACATCTACAGGTGAGAACAGGTGTGAACAGGTGTTTAGTAGCACTGACATCTGCACCACATCTACAGGTGACAACAGGTGTTTAGTAGCACTGACACCTGCACCACATCTACAGGTGAGAACAGGTGTTTAGTAGCACTGACACCTGCACCACATCTACAGGTGAGAACAGGTGTTTAGTAGCACTGACACCTACACCACATCTACAGGTGTGAACAGGTGTTTAGTAGCACTGACACCTGCACCACATCTACAGGTGAGAACAGGTGTTTTGTAGCACTGACATCTGCACCACATCTACAGGTGAGAACAGGTGTTTAGTAGCACTGACACCTGCACCACATCTACAAGTGAGAACAGGTGTTTAGTAGCACTGACACCTGCACCACATCTACAGGTGAGAACAGGTGTTTAGTAGCACTGACACCTGCACCACATCTACAGGTGAGAACAGGTGTTTAGTAGCACTGACATCTGCACCACATCTACAGGTGAGAACAGGTGTTTAGTAGCACTGACACCTGCACCACATCTACAGGTGAGAACAGGTGTTTAGTAGCACTGACACCTGCACCACATCTACAGGTGAGAACAGGTGTTTAGTAGCACTGACATCTGCACCACATCTACAGGTGAGAACAGGTGTTTAGTAGCACTCACACCTGCACCACATCTACAGGTGGTCCACATTATATCTACAAGGACCACAAGTATTGGTCCACATTATATCTACAAGGACCACAAGTATTGGTCCACATTATATCTACAAGGACCACAAGTATTGGTCCACATTATATCTACAAGGACCACAAGTATTGGTCCACATTATATCTACAAGGACCACAAGTATTGGTCCACATTATATCTACAAGGACCGTAAATATTGGTCCGCATTATATGTACAAGGACCACAAATATTGGTCCACAAGTATTGGTCCTCATTATATCTACAAGGACCACAAGTATTGGTCCACATTATATCTACAAGGACCGTAAATATTGGTCCGCATTATATGTACAAGGACCACAAATATTGGTCCGCGTTCTGTGTCTGGCGCTATCAAACAAAAAGCCTTCACTGACTATTTCCGTGTTTTATCCAGTTGCAGCACATGCATTGAATCCCACGATCTGTTTTCTGCGAAGCATGTGGTGTTTATATGTATTGTTAAGGTTACATGAACCGAAATATTATTGTTGCTTTTTTGTTGTACTGTGACCTGTGATTGTGTCGTGTGTGAGTATATTATACACTGTGTCAGTATATATAGTCGTGTGTGAGTATATTATACACTTTGTCAGTATATATAGTTGTGTGTGAGTATATTATACACTGTTTCAGTATATATAGTTGTCTGTGAGTATATTATATACTGTGTCAGTATCTATAGTTGTCTGTGAGTATATTATATACTGTGTCAGTATCTATTGTTATCTGTGAATATATTATATACTGTGTCAGTATATATAGTCGTGTGTGAGTTATATTATACACTGTGACAGTATCTATAGTTGTCTGTGAGTATATTATACAGTTTGTCAGTAGATACAGTTGTGTGTGAGTATATTATATACTGTGTCAGTATATTTAGTTGTCTGTGAGTATATTATATACTGTGTCAGTATATATAGTTGTCTGTGAGTATATTATATACTGTGTCAGTATATATAGTTGTCTGTGAATATATTATATCCTGTGTCAGTATCTATAGTTGTCTGTGAATATATTATATACTGTGTCAGTATCTTGTCATGTGTGAGTATATTATACAGTGTGTCAGTAGATACAGTTGTGTGTGAGTATATTATACAGTGTGTCAGTAGATACAGTTGTGACCTCATCGCCTGTGTTTGTCTTCTTCGTTTTAAGGAGAACACTATCTCAGCCAGGTGTGCCCTGTTGCCATGGAGTCAGGGTGACACTTCCCCTCACCCAGGACAGACCATGAGAAATTATCACGTAATTAGAGGATTAACCCTACCTGTCTTCCTGCCGTTGACGGAGGAATGTTCTGGAGGCTGCCACCTATTTGTGGAAAGTGTTTGCCTCACTGTATATAACTACAACATTGTCTGTCAGGATGAGCAGGCTGCTACTTCAGCAGCTGTACAGCTGTAGATTCACAGCCAACACTTCAGCAGCTGTACAGCTGTAGATTCACAGCCAACACTTCAGCAGCTGTACAGCTGTAGATTCACAGCCAACACTTCAGCAGCTGTACAGCTGTAGATTCACAGCCAACACTTCAGCAGCTGTACAGCTGTAGAATCACAGCCAACACTTCAGCAGCTGTAGATTATCAGCCAACACTTCAGCAGCTGTACAGCTGTAGATTCACAGCCAACACTTCAGCAGCTGTACAGCTGTAGATTCACAGCCAACACTTCAGCAGCTGTACAGCTGTAGATTCACAGCCAACACTTCAGCAGCTGTACAGCTGTAGAATCACAGCCAACACTTCAGCAGCTGTAGATTATCAGCCAACACTTCAGCAGCTGTACAGCTGTAGATTCACAGCCAACACTTGGCAGCTGTACAGCTGTAGATTCACAGCCAACACTTCAGCAGCTGTACAGCTGTAGATTATCAGCCAACACTTCAGCAGCTGTACAGCTGTCGATTCACAGCCAACACTTCAGCAGCTGTACAGCTGTAGATTCACAGCCAACACTTCAGCAGCTGTACAGCTGTAGATTCTCAGCCAACACTTAGCAGCTGTACAGCTCTCAATTCACAGCCAACACTTAGCAGCTGTACAGCTGTCGATTCACAGCGAACACTTCAGCAGCTGTACAGCTATACAGTGTCAGATTGCCAGCTTCTTCTGTCTGACAATAGGACAAGTTGTGCAAGTGTTGACTTGTCCCATCAATGCATTAGGAATTGTTTTTGGAAATATCTCATTATTTGGCAAATGAACAAATCTAGGTGAGGTCAAACACTGTATAATGTCAGACTTTTCTAGTAGTGCAACTCTTTGAATAATGTCAGTCAGTTGTTTATTTGGTAAGTAGGCGATAGCCCCACGTACATTTCATCCAGAAACAGTTACATTTTTCTGGGAGGCATTGCTAATGTTACAAGTAAGTCGTATGGTCAAACATTCCTTGACATATTTTGCTAATTTCTTAAGAATATGGCAAGAACTGCTCCCGACCAGTTTCTTATAGGAGTAGAATGTTGGATTTTCATAGCAGCAAACTGGTATATACCTGTTTCTTATTGTAGTACAGACCGGGCAGACAAACAAAAATGTCTGACATTTGCAACTTCATTAAGATTACAAACTTTACAAACCCACAGACATTCATCAACACCCTGCCTCGCTACTTGAATAGGCAACTTGTCTGATGTCCACCATATAAACCTTCTGCATTCCCTAGATTCATAACATAATACTCAGTATTTACCATTGTCTTAACTTGTACATAATTCCGTAACCTTTTACTTTAGCTGTATTCATTTTATCCGAAAGAATCTGGACGTGACACTCTGACTACAGGTGCTACCCATCAGGGGAGAGATGAGTCCTGGCATCAACACCAGTGTGAACCAAACAAAATGTCCCTGGTGCTTTTTAACTTTTTCTAGTGACTTCATGACTTCAGTTGTTTTCTTGTTCCTTCCGTTAATATCAGTGAACTCCAAGATGACTTGCTCTCCTAGTGTTCTGTTGGATTCCCGCAACATTTCTGTTAACACAATTAAAATACAACAACGCGTCCAACTGGGCGCACTAAGCTTTTCACCTTCACTTACCTCAATGTAATTTTAATCCGAAAGGTCGTGTATTATAAGTAAACATTGCAGTCAAACAGCGTGTTTTCAAACCAAATGTGTCCACCATGTTTGAGATTACTATAGTGATATTTTTTACCAATCATAGGCAAGCTTATAACTGATAACAGGACTGCACTGAATACTGTAAATCGTGAAAATAACGTAAGCGTGAATTAAATGTGAAAAATGCAAGTGGTCTTTGCTTGCATTATTAAACATCGCATTTACATCAACAATCAGACAGTTTGGATAGCAGAAATACCAACTTAGACATACGCTGAAAACAAACAACTATGTATTCCACACCACTGTTTATTGAGCAGCACCTGTAACAAGTATATAAACAATGTCATTCAAACACTAATTACATCCTGTGAATTGTCACTGCTGGGGTCAAGACAAGAGTTCAGACGCCACCAACGCAACACAGTGTCTTTGTTCTTTGCAACTGCGTCAAAGGCCGACACGAGCCAGCGCGCATGTATTGTTTTAGTGGAAGTACTCTACTCAGCGCTAATAAGCAGTGATATTTGGTGTGTGATTGGTGTAATGTAAGGTTGGATTAAGGTGAGGATTCTCCTGTAACCTGACAGAGGAAATTTTCTTAAGATATAAATCCACTGATGCTTGAGAGGACAGGGTGTCGCATTCATATTGAGTCGCATTGTTGGCTAGGGCCAATGGTCGCATTCTTTTGGAGACGCATTAATTTCACGATTTACAGTATTATTTTCCGACCAATCATATTGCTTGTTTCTAAATAGATACTATCATAGCCGGCAGTGACAAGCATGGCGTCTGCTTAACCGAAGAAGCGACAAATG